TCGCCTCTCTCGCTCTCGCTATCGCGAGCTGGAGGCGGCGCGCGCCCGAGAGAGAGAGAGAGAGAGAGAGGTTGTTTGTGGGGACAATACTATACGGATCACCCTCAGTCTATAACTATGATATATGGATCACCCTCAGTCTGTAGCTATGGGTACCTTCTCTCCCACCGTCTCCCATCCTCTTCTCTCCTTCTCTCCATTCCTTTTCACAATGAGACAACTACTCCAAGCCTACTGCCAGGGCACGTCTATGAAGAACAGTATCTTAGTAAAAAGACATTGCTGACAACTTTGATTCACCAATGTCATACTGCATCACAATACCCTTAACCAACGTCATACTGCATCACAATACCCTTAACCAATGTCATACTGCATCACAATACCCTTAACCAACGTCATACTCCATCACAATACCATTAACCAATGTCATACTGCATCACAATACCCTTAACCAACGTCATACTCTGTTACAATACCCTTAACCAATGTCATACTGCATCACAATACCCTTCACTAATGTCAATCATTTGAAATTAAATTAGACGACCTAAGATTAAGTTTATCCTACCAACGGGACATTAGAAATTGTAATATGTTTCATCGAGTCGTGGCTGAACGACGACATGGATAACATACAGCTAGCGGGCTGTACGCTACATCGGCAGGATAGAACGGCTGACTCCGGTAAGACAAGGGGTGGCGGTCTGTGTATATTTGTAAACAACTGCTGGTGCATAAAATCTAATACTAAGGAAGTCTCAAGGTTTTGCTCGCCTGAGGTAGAGTATCTCATGATAAGCTGTAGACCAAACCATGTACTACACCGGCTAGCAGACCACCATAGTCCCTGTGCCCAAGAACACCAAGGTAACCTGCCTAAATGAGGCATATTCTCCTACATGATTTTCATATTTCCACAAACTTCAATGTGTTTCCTTTCAAATGGTATCACAAATATGCATATCTTTTCTTCAGGTCCTGAGCAACAGGCAGTTAGATTTGGGAATGTCATTTTAGGTGAAAATTGGAAAAAAGGGTTAGATCCTTAAACGGTTAAGAAGGTCAACATTCACAAGGCCGCAGGGCCAGACCGATTACCTACAAGTGTAGGTGTCTTCACTGACATTTTCAACATGTCCCTGACTGAGTCTGTAATACCAACATGTTTCAAGCAGACCACCATAGTCCTTGTGCCCAAGAACACTGAGATAACCTGCCTGAATGACTACCGACCCGTAGCACTCACGTCTGTAGCCAAGAAGTGCTTTGAAAGGCTGGTCATGGCTCACATCAACACCATTATATCAGAAACCTTAGACCGACTCCAATTTGCATACCGCCCCAACTAATCCACAGATGATGCAATCTCTATTGCACTCCACACTGCCCTTTCCCACCTGAACAAAAGGAACACCTACGTGAGAATGCTATTCATTGACTACAGCTCAGTGTTCAACACCATAGTGCCCTCAAAGCTCATCACTAAGCTAAGGACCCTGGGACTAAACACCTCCCTCTGCAACTGGATCCTGGACTTCCTGAGGGGCCACCCCCAGGTGGTAAGGGTAGGTAACAACACACTGGCACACTGATCCTCAACACGGGGGCCCCTCAGGGGTGCGTGCTCAGTCCCCTCCTGTACTCCCTTTTCACCCATGACTGCATGGCCAGGCACAACTCCAACGCCATCATTAAGTTTGCCGACAGTGGTAGGCCTGATCACAGACAACAATGAGACAGCCTATAGGGAGGAGGTCAGAGACCTGGCCGTGTGGTGCCAGGATAACAACCTCTCCCTCAACGTGACCAAGATGAAATATATTATTGTGGACTACAGGAAAAAAAAGAGGACTGAGCACGCCCCCATTCTCATCTACGGAGCTGTAGTGGAACAGGTTGAGAGCCTCATGTTCCTTGGTGTCCACATTACCAACAAATGATCATGGTCCAAAAACACCAAGACAGTCGTGAAGAAGGCACGACAAAGCCTATTTCCCCTCAGGAGACTGAAAAGATTTGGCATGGGGTCCTCAGAACCTCAAAAAGTTATGCAGCTGCACCATCGAGAGCATCCTGAATGGTTGCATCGCCGCCTGGTATGGCAACTGCTCGGCCTCCAACCGCAAGGCACTACAGAGGGTAGTGCATACGGCCCAGTACATCACTGGGACCAATATCCTGCCATCCAGGACCTCTATACCAGGCGGTGTCAGAGGAAGACCCTAAAAATTTTAAAAGACTCCAGCCACCCTAGTCATAGACTGTTCTCTCTGCTACCGCACAGCAAGCGGTACCGGAGCGCCAAGTCTAGGTCCAAAATGTTTCTTAACCTCTACGGTTTTGGTGTCCCGGTACGGTTGAGCTAGCGTGCGCTAATGTTATTAGCATGACTGTTGTAAGTAACAGCAAACTTTCCAGGACATAGACATGTCTTATATGGGCAGAAAGCTTACATTGTTTGAGAAGAGTGCAAAAAAAAAAAAAATGTATCACGGCAACTGGTTTGATACATTCACCTCTGAAGGTAAATAATGTACTTACATTCAGTAATCTTGCTCTGATTTGTCATCCTAAGGGTCCCAGAGATATAATGTAGCATAGTTTGTTTGATAAAATCATTTTTTATATTCAAATGTAGGAACTGGGTTCTACAGTTTGAACCCTTGCTGTCTCTGGCTCCACTCCCACCCTGCCCGGCCATCTAGATGTGTGAAAGTTAGTGTATAAGCTAAAGATCCATCATGTATGACATTCCTGGGAGTGTGTAAACTTACATTTTGTATTACCGTATCATTTGTGTATGTTCTCTATAGTTATGTATTTGAAAATGTATCAATTGACCAATTCGGCACATTTGGGCAGACTTGATACAAAATATTCTAGTGTTGCAACGCTTGACTGGATCAATCTGAAACTTTGCGCACACACTGCTTCCATCTAGTGGCCAAATTTTTAATTGCGCCTAAACTGCAATATTATATTGTGGCCTTTCTCTTGTATTTCAAAGATGAAGAAACAAAAAAATAAATAGAAAACACATGTTATTTTGTTTTTATTATCTTTCACCAGATCTAATGTGTTAAATTCTCCTACATTAATTTCACATTTCCACAAACTTCAAAGTGTTTCCTTTCAAATGGTATCAAGAATATGCATATCCTTGCTTCAGGTCCAGAGCAATAGGCAGTTAGATTTGGGTATGTCATTTTATGCGAAAATTGAAAAAAAGGCTCTGATCCTTAAGACGTTAACAGCTTCTACCCCCGAACCATAAGACTCCTGAACAGCTAATCATGGCTACCCGGACAATTTGGATTGTACCCTATTAATACCAGCTATATGATTCACTCTGTACCCTATTAATACCAGCTATATGATTCACCCTATACCCTATTAATACCAGCTATATGATTCACCCTATACCCTATTAATACTAGCTATATGATTCACCCTATACCCTATTAATACCAGCTATATGATTCACCCTGTACCCTATTAATACTAGCTATATGATTCACCCTGTACCCTATTAATACTAGCTATATGATTCACCCTATACCCTATTAATACTAGCTATATGATTCACCCTGTACCCTATTAATACCAGCTATATGATTCACCCTATACCCTATTAATACCAGCTATAAGATTCACCCTATACCCTATTAATACCAGCTATATGATTCACCCTGTACCCTATTAATACCAGCTATATGATTCACCCTGTACCCTATTAATACCAGCTATATGATTCACCCTATACCCTATTAATACCGGCTATATGATTCACCCTATACCCTATTAATACCAGCTATATGATTCACCCTATACCCTATTAATACCAGCTATATGATTCACCCTGTACCCTATTAATACCAGCTATATGATTCACCCTATACCTTATTAATACCAGCTATATGATTCACCCTTTACCCTATTAATACCAGCTATATGATTCACCCTGTACCCTATTAATACCAGCTATATGATTCACCCTGTACCCTATTAATACCAGCTATATGATTCACCCTGTACCCTATTAATACCAGCTATATGATTCACTCTGTACCCTATTAATACCAGCTATATGATTCGCCCTGTACCCTATTAATACCAGCTATATGATTCACCCTGTACCCTATTAATACCAGCTATATGAATCACCCTGTACCCTATTAATATTAGCTATATGATTCACCCTGTACCCTATTAATACTAGCTATATGATCCACCCTTTACCCTATTAATACCAGCTATATGATTCACCCTATACCCTATTAATACCAGCTATATGATTCACCCTGTACCCTATTAATACCAGCTATATGATTCACCCTGTACCCTATTAATACTAGCTATATGATTCACCCTGTACCCTATTAATACCAGCTATATGATTCACCCTATACCCTATTAATACTAGCTATATGATTCACCCTATACCCTATTAATACCAGCTACATGATTCACCCTGTACCCTATTAATATTAGCTATATGATTCACCCTATACCCTATTAATACTAGCTATATGATTCACCCTGTACCCTATTAATACCAGCTATATTATTGTCCCATTGTATTGCTACTCTATTCCAGCAGCACCAGTAGTCCATAGCTTAATCAGCAGGGTGTATAGGATCATTCATCCGCTCCAGAACGTCCTAAAGACTGAAACATGACGCTAATGTGATATCCACACTAAGGAGTTGATTCAACAGCCAAGGGAGAGATTCACACAAGTCATTGGACAGGATGATATCAGCTTTTTTTTCCTTCTCTGCTTTTGGCCGAATACCTGCAATGTAGTGTCATATCACTCCAGCCTAGTAACAGTGTCATGCCAAACCCACGGCACTCTACACTGGTGAGAAGATGAGCAATGAGAAATCTAAAATGGCCGCCTATCTACGCTGAACCATTCATTCCAGACCTAGAAAAAGCTTAATGTGCTGCACCACTCATAGAGAAGAGGTTACTGTTAATGTGACAGTGATCAATGGGGAGAGAAAGGGGGTCAGATAAGTGGAAAGATAAGAGACGGCAAAGATAGATTAAGAAAGAATGGTAAAAGTCAGACAAAAGAGGTGGATAAAGAAATGTAGAATACTGACAGATGCAGAACAAAGGAGGAGAGCAGGAAGAGGAGAACCCTTTTCACCCCGTCAGATGTTGTTACCTCACTGACAGGTCTCTGACCTCCTCCCTATAGGCTGTCTCATCATTGTCGGTGATCGCGCCTACCACTGTTGTGTCGTCAGCCAACTTGATGACGGTGTTGGAGTCGTGCTTAGCCACGCAGTCATGGGTGAACAGGGAGTACAGGAGGGGACTGAGCACGCAACCCTGAGGGGCTCCCGTGTTGAGGATCAGCATGGCATATGTGTTCTTACCTGCCTTTACTACCTGGGGGCGGCCCGTCAGGAAGTCCAGGATCCAGTTGCAGAGGGAGGTGTTTAGTCCCAGGGTCCTTAGTTTAGTGATGAGTTTTGAAAGAACTGTGGTGTTGAACGCTGAGCTGTAGTCAATGAACAGCATTCTCACATAGGTGTTCCTTTTGTCCAGGTGGGAAAGGGCAGTGTGGAGTACGATTGAGATTGCGTTATCTGTGTCTCTGTTGTGTTGGTATGTGAATTAGAGTGGGTCTGGGGTGTCTGGGATAATGGTGCTGATGTGAGCCATGACCAGCCTTTCAAAGCACTTTATGTTTACCGACGTGAGTGCTACGGGGCGGTAATGATTTAAGCAGGTTACCTTCACTTTCTCGGGCACAGGGACAATGGTTTTCTGTTTGAAACATGTAGGTATTACAGACTCGGTCAGGGAGAGGTTGAAAATGTCAGTAAAGACACTTGCCAGTTGGTCAGCGCATGCTTTGAGTAAACGCCCTGGTAATCCGTTTGGCCCAGCGGCTGTGAATGTTGACCTGTTTAAACGTCTTGCACACATCGGCTACGGAGAGTGTATTCACACAGTCGTCTGGAACAGCTGGTGCTCTCATGCATGCTTCAGTGTTGCTTGCCTCAAAGCAAGCATAAAAGGCATTTAGCTCGTCTGGTAGGCTCGCATAACTGGGTAGCTCGCGGCTGGGTTTCCCTTTGTAGTCCGTAATATTTTTCAAGCACTGCCACATCCGACGAGTGTCAGAGCCGGTGTAGTAGGATTCAAACTTAGTCCTGTATTGATTATTTGCCTGTTTGATGGTTCATCTGAGGGCATTGCGGCATTTCCTATAAGCATCTGGAATAGTGTCCCGCTCCATGAAAGTGGAAGCTCTTGACTTTAGCTCGGTGCGGATGTTGCCTGAAATCCATGGATTCTGCTTGGGAAATGTATGTACAGTCACTGTGGGGACGACATCGTCAATGCACTTATTGATGAAGCCGGTGATTGAGGTGGCATTCTCCTCAATGCCATTAGATGAATCCCGGAACATATTCCAGTCTGTGTTAGCAAAACAGTTCTGTAGCATAGCATCCGCGTCATCTGACCGCGTCCGTATTGAGCGAGTCACTGGTACTTCCTATTTCAGTTTTTGCTTGTGAGCAGGAATCAGTAGGATATAATATTTGTCTGATTTGTCAAATGGAGGGCGAGGGAGAGCGTTGTATGCGTCTCTGTGTGTGGAGAGTCTAGAATTGTCTTCCTTCCTCTGGTTGCACAGGTGACATGCTGGAAGAAATTAGGTAAAATGGATTTAAGTTTGCCTGCATTAAAGTCCCCGCCCACTAGGAGTGCCGCTTCTGGGTGAGCATTTTCTTGTTTGCTTATGGCCTTATGCAGCTCGTTGAGTGCGGTCTTAGTGCCAGCATCGGTTTGTGGTGGCAAATAGACGGCTACGAATAATATGGATGAGAACTCTCTTGGTAGATAGTGGGTCTACAGCTTATTATGAGGTACTCTAGCTCAGGCGAGCAAAACCTCCAGACTTCTTTAATATTAGACATCGCTCACCAGCTGTTATTGACAAATAGACACACACCCCCGCCCCTCGTCTTACCAGACGTAGCAGCTCTGTCCAGCCGATACACAGAGAAGCCAGCCAGCTCTATATTATCAATTTTGTCGTTCAGCCACGTCTCGGTGAAACACAAGATATTACAGTTTTTAATGTCCCGTTGGTAGGATAGTCTTCATCGTAGATGGTCCAGTTTTTAATGTCCCGTTGGTAGGATAGTCTTCATCGTAGATGGTCCAGTTTTTAATGTCCCGTTGGTAGGATAGTCTTCATCGTAGACGGTCCAGTTTTTAATGTCCCGTTGGTAGGATAGTCTTCATCGTAGATGGTCCAGTTTTTAATGTCCCGTTGGTAGGATAGTCTTCACCGTAGACGGTCCAGTTTTTAATGTCCCGTTGGTAGGATAGTCTTCATCGTAGACGGTCCAGTTTTTAATGTCCCGTTGGTAGGATAGTCTTCACCGTAGATGGTCCAGTTTGTTTTCCAATGATTGCATGTTGGAAGGAAGTGGTGGTTTACCTACTGAGAATCCTTACAAGGCACCCCGCCCTCCTCCCCTTTCTCCTCCGTCTTTTCTTAAAGCTGATGACAGGGATTTGGGCCTTGCCTTGACAAAGCAGTATACCCTTCACTTCGGACTCGATTAAAGACAAATTATTTGTCCAGTTCAAGGTGAGTAATCGCTGTTCTGATGCCCAGAAGCTATTTTCGGTCATAAGAGACGGTAGCAACAACATTATGTACAAAATGAGTTACAAAACAATGTGAGAAAACACACTAAATAGCACGGTTGGAGCCCGTAAAACGTCAACCATCCCATCCTGGCGCCATCCTGTCTGTGTGTTGAGATACATCTCCCTCAGCCGCAGCCCCAACACCTCACACGGGAGGAATAGATCAACAGACACCCCGCGCAGACCAGCAAGACACTCTCCCAGACCTGCGGGACCCCCCCCGGATATATACCCAGAGGACCACCAGCCACATCCACACTCCCACCCCAAGCAATCAATACCCCCCCGCCCCCGCCAAACAAACCATGCCCACACCCTATAAATGCCCCCTCAGATCTATGCCCCTCAGATCAGACCTTTCAGACACACAAGCCATGTCTCAATTGTCTCAATACTTAATAATCCTTCTTTAAACTGTCTCCTCCACCTTCATCTACACTAATTTAAATGGATTTAACAAGTGACATCAATAAGGGATCATAGTTTTTAGCTGGATGGACCTGGTCAGTCTGTGTCATGGAAAGAGCAGGTGTTCCTAATGTTTTGTAAACTCAGCGTATGCTTATCAGGCCTGGAACTTCCTGATTTTAGGGGCAAGGCCAATAGGCCTTAAAGGGGTGCCCAATTTGCCGGGGCACCAAGGCCATCGGCCAGGGCACCAAGGCCATCGGCCAGGACACCAAGGCCATCGGCCAGGACACCAAGGCCATCGGCCAGGGCACCAAGGCTATCGGCCGGGGCACCAAGGCTATCGGCCAGGACACCAAGGCCATCGGCCAGGGCAACAAGGCCATCGGCCAGGACACCAAGGCCATCGGCCAGGACACCAAGGCCATCGGGCAACAAGGCCATCGGCCAGGACCCCAAGGCCATCGGCCAGGACACCAAGGCCATCGGGCAACAAGGCCATCGGCCAGGACACCAAGGCCATCAGCCAGGACACCAAGGCCATCGGCCAGGGCACCAAGGCCATCGGGCAACAAGGCCATCGGCCAGGGCACCAAGGCCATCGGCCGGGGCACCAAGGCCATCGGGCAACAAGGCCATCGGCCAGGGCACCAAGGCCATCAGCCAGGGCAACAAGGCCATCGGCCGGGGCACCAAGGCCATCGGCCGGGACACCAAGGCCATCGGCTGGGGCAACAAGGCCATCGGCCAGGACACCAAGGCCATCGGCCAGGACACCAAGGCCATCGGCCAGTGCACCAAGGCCATCGGCCAGGGCAACAAGGCCATCGGCCGGGGCAACAAGGCCATCGGCCAGGACACCAAGGCCATCGGCCAGGGCAACAAGGCCATCGGCCAGGGCAACAAGGCCATCGGCCAGGACACCAAGGCCATCGGCCAGGACACCAAGGCCATCGGCCAGGACACCAAGGCCATCGTCCAGGGCAACAAGGCCATCGGCCGGGGCAACAAGGCCATCGGCCAGGACACCAAGGCCATCGGCCGGGGCAACAAGGCCATCGGCCAGGGCACCAAGGCCATCGGCCAGGACACCAAGGCCATTGGCCAGGGCACCAAGGCCATCGGCCAGGACACCAAGGCCATCGGACAGGGCAACAAGGCCATTGGCCGGGGCACCAAGGCCATCGGCCGGGGCAACAAGGCCATCAGCCAGGAAAACAATGCCATCGGCTGGGGCACCAAGGCCATTAACCAAAAATAGACAATTAAGTTGATTCGGATACAAAAAATTATTTCAGAGCTTTCTTTGAAAGATTTTGTTCAGTAGTAGGGGGTTGGGGGTGTTCGGGTTTAGAATTTCCAAAACATTTGTTTGGGGATTTGCGCTCTAAAAGTCTAATTTTATTCATAGAAAAATAATACAATTTGATGTTTTAAGTAAACAAAAACCACACCACGTTTGAGGTCTAGGAAACATCTAATTAATAAATTGTAATCTTTTTAGTGTAGCTACCTTTTAATTCAATTGTACATGCATCTAACAGCGTTTGGTTAGCAGTGTTTCTTTAGCGCACATTTGATGGAGTTCACAAAACTAATGGATTGATGGAAATATCATGATATCATGCCAGGTAAGCACAGGCTACTTTAGTTAACATTTAATTCAGAAGGTTTTTTGGGGAAACCTTTCCATCTGCCAGAAGATACAACGCTATATTTGTTCATGTTCCATATTGTTGGTGTGCGCCACTGCTAAATGAATACTGAGGAAACACTGTGATGTGCTTCCCACCATTCGTTTTTTAAATTTTTTTTTTATTAAATTTCAACAAAAGCATACTACAAAATGTTGTCATTTTCTAAAGAGTTGAGAAATAAATATGAAAGAAAGGAAAGCTGGGATCCTTCGCTTTTCAAAGCTGTGTTTCCCCCCCCCCCCCCCCGTGGTTTCATTTGCCTAGGCCTTATCAGGACATGTCTTTATCAAATCAACCAGCTGTTGGAGGAGTTGCAGGCTCTCACTGCCGGACAGGTCATGTGCCTGGTAAAACTAAGGTTAATTGTGCATGTGATAAATAAACTACATATTGAATTAACAGCTTCAGGAAAATACATCTGGTTTACCAGAAATAATATCTACACTCCATAATTATTGGGGGCACATTGTACAAAATGGCCGCATTTTTTGTGTTTAGAGGCCCGACAGGAAGACAGACTAGGATATGCACCATCTGGCTGAAAAGGGATGCTGAAGTTACACACACCAGGAAACACTCCAAGCCCTAGTTACGGTAGGACCCAGAGTCTTTCTTCTGGTCAAGTCACAAGATTACCAACAGTACATTCTGTGCAGAGTTCTCCCTGATCTTGTAACCTGTCCAGTTTTAGGTAGGACATAAGAGTTTTTCTCCTGGTCAGGTCACATGATCAACTGAGATGAGAGCAGAAAACTAGGTCTGGCCACTTAATAGAGAGAGAGAGTGTAAACCAAATTACAACACAGTCAAAACAAAACTACATGACTTATTGGGAAACACAAGCACAAAGCAAAATGCAGTGCTATATGGCCCTAAATTGACAGTACACCGTGGCAAACTATTTGACCATGTTTACTGATCAAAACCTTAGAAAAACATTGACAAAGTACAGGCTCAGTGAGCACAGCCTTGCCATTGAGAAGGGTAGACACAGGAAAACCTGGTTCCCTGTAGAGGAAAGGCTGTGCAACCACTGCACCACAGCAGAACCTGAGACAGAGCTGCATTTCCTGACAAAATGTAAAAAATATCAAACCCTTATTCAAGGTATCAAAGACTTCTCTGATGAGAATAGGCTACCCGTCTTGTTGGGGGAGGACGCAGAGAGCTGTGGGTTGGCAGCGCACTCCATTGCTGCCTGCCATAAGAAGAGGGACAGTGTCTGACAGACCAACCAACCTGCACATGTCCTCTATATTGTTATTGTTCAATGGTTATTTTGACCCTTGGTTATTGCTGTTACTGTTGTCCCTTTGACCATAATCATTAATATTATATTAAATATGTTAATGTTGTAAATCCCCAAAGAAAGCTTTGTTACGTCATGCTCCCTCTTTCTCCCCCCTCTCTCTCTCGCTCTCTCTCTCTCTCTCGGTTTCTCTCTGGCTGGTGTTTTGTACTGTGAGGTCTTCAAGACCATCTGTAATTAATTATTTAATGTTGACTTCACAACAGGGAAGTGTGTGAGTCCCTTCCTCTGTGTGTGTGTGAGTCCCTTCCTCTTTGTGTGTGTGTGTGTGAGTCCCTTCCTATGTGTGTGTCTCTTTGTTGAAGTGTGTGTGTGAATGTGTGTTTGTGTTCTTGCTCGTAAACTGGGCACTGCAGCTCAGAGCCAGCAGACATCTTTCTCTCCTCTCTCTCTTCTAGCCCTCCTCCATTCTTCCCTCGCTCGGCGGGCCATGCCGACGTGACTGCTGAGCCCGACTCCAAAACAAAGTTTAGCTGCAGATCTGACTACACTTAAAGGGCAATGCAGACACACTGCCCCATGGAGTCCAGACTATTGATTTACAACCACGGAGAGTTACCGCAAGTCGCAAAGAAAACAGGAGCTGCCTCCACTATTCCAGCACCATTTCAACTTCAACATCATCTAATCACCTCTGCTTAGTCTGATACAATGACAACTAAAAGATACCAAAAACGATTTAGTCCAATCAACGTTCGGCTAAATACGATGTGGCTGTCCATTACAGCTATATCTATAGTTTCCCAGCTCTCAGCTCTCTGCTGTCACATTACAGCTATATAAAAGCCAGATTTCAGGTATTACATTGACATCATTTAGCAGACGCTCTTATCCGGAGCGACTTACCGTCGCATTACACAAGGTGTGTGTTCTTCCGTAAGTGTCTCCATATTTAACCACATAAGGTGTGTGTGTGTGTGTGTGTGTGTTTGCATGCCTGCGTGTGTGTCTGCATGCATATGTGTGTTTATGTACGTGGAAGTGTGTGTGTGTGTGTGTGTGTGTGTGTGTGTGTTCATGCCTGTGTGTGTGTGTGTGTATCTATGTGTGTGTGTGTGTGTGTGTGTGTGTGTGTGTTCATGCCTGTGTGTGTGTGTGTATCTACGTGTGTGTGTGTGTGTGTGTGTGTGTGTGTATGTGTTCTCCTTTATCCTCTATCATAGTTCTCCTAATGAATCAGTGTTTTATTCTGCTGTCAGTGAGTCCCTGGGGGAAGGGAAGGGTGGAGATGAAAACAGCTAAATCAACCTCCGGAACAGAGGATCAGGATAAGCCCCCCAAAAAACTAATGTCACACACCCAATCATACGGCAGTCAGACTCAAACACACCCAATCATACGGCAGTCAGACTCAAACACACCCAATCACACGGCAGTCAGACTCAAACACACTCAAACACACCCAATCATACGGCAGTCAGACTCAAACACACCCAATCATACGGCAGTCAGACTCAAACACACCCAATCATACGGCAGTCAGAGTCAAACACACCCAATCACACGGCAGTCCGACTCAAACACACCCAATCATACGGCAGCGCTCGAGAGTCATATTATCTCTGGTAGTTTATGCTACCAGCTATAGTTGTATCAGTAATACACCATTCAACATTCACTTTCTCCTCTATGTATTGTTTTCTGATTGCTGATTTGTTTTTGTTTTTAAATGTATCATGAGGCTATGGATTTATGAAAATGTCCTGGAGCCATTAACCAAAGCCGATCTTGAAAAATGACACACAGCTTACACTGAATACCAACAGTTAGTTATTTGGCTAAAAATGATATCTATAATCAACAGTGAGACTTTGTAGACATTTTCCCATCCTACTTGAACATTGATTGGAGGGAAATATGGGCTTTTGAGATCCTCATGAACCAATCAAAACTGATCTTTAGAATTACCTATTGACTCAATCCTTGTAGATCACCAATGGCACATGATATTTGTAAGCAGAGCCATATAATTAAATTCTGAAAGAGTGATACAGACTAAGACATCTAGTAGATTACAGACTATATGACAGATACAGGTCAATGTCCACTAAGACATCTAGTAGACTTCAACGTGTGCAGACATTATAAACATTGGTTTACACACACACACACAAACGCGCACACACAGTAGATTACACAAAACACACACACACACACACAATGTTAGGATTTATGGGTCCCCTAGTGCTGATTGTTAATGATGAGATTGCCACTCATCAGTTCAGGCTATAACCACGCTGAGACTGAAGGAAGAATTATTGTTTGGTTTTCATCGTGTGTGTGTGTGTGTGTGTGTGTGTGTGTGTGTGTGTGTGTGTGTGTGTGTGTGTGTGTGTGTGTGTGTCTGTGTGTGTGTGTGTGTGTGTGTGTATGTGTGTGTGTGTGTGTGTGTGTGTGTGTGTGTGTGTGTGTGTGTGTGTGTGTGTGTTTGAAAACACAAATATGTACACACACTCCCTCACATGATTATCCAGAGTTCCTGAAGTGAGCGATGGAATGTACAAGACTTATCGTCGTGGCTAAATTTACCCAGGGTTCATTGCTGCGCGTCACTTTCCCGTCATGACCTCCTGACATCAGCGTGGTACGACCCTGACATACAGACCCACTGACGGACATTACACACACACACACACACACACGCACACGCACACGCACACGCACACGCACACACACACACACACACACACACACACACATTTACACATTGCGCATACACACTAGAGTTGGGAAGATAAACCGAAAGATTACCGATACCAACATTGCCTTCCTCTTACGGAATAATTTTTGCTAACGTGTAATTTTCAGTGATTTTGTTCACAACGTTCCTATAGCTTATTGTTCTAGAACCATTATTTGGTCAACAGCATTACGTTGATTCCTGATATGAAGGTATCAGCCTGTCCCTGATTGGCTATGTGAGCGGTCACTCCCTCTCCCTGTTATCAAATCAAATGTTATTTGTCACATGCGCCGAACACAACAGGTGCAGACCTTACAGTGAAACGCTTACTTACAAGCCCTTAACCAACCGTGCAGTTTTAAGAAAGAATACCCCCCCCCCCAAAAAAAAAAAATACAATATAAAATAATAAGAAAAGTAACAAATAGTTAAAGAGCAGCAGTAAAAATAACAATAGCGAGGCTATATACAGGGGGTACCGGTACAGAGTCAATGTGCGGGGGCACCGGTTAGTCGAGGTAATTGAGGTAATATGTACATGTAGGTAGAGTTATTAAAGTGACTATGCATAG